AATCCTCATTCTTACTTCAATTTCCCTAAGAAATATCAAGTACTTCTTATATTATTTTCTCTTAAAATGTTTCTGATTGCTATTCAAAGGAAATCATGCATTACAAGAGAAGGCAATGAGATACAATTTATTTTCTGTTGCTACTGACTTTTATTCTAGAACATTAAATGTTCAACAGGAGTTGCAAGCCATGAAAATAAAAATATGGCTTGCTTTTAGTCTTGTGACTAAGTGACCACCCATTTAATTCCTAGGAAAATGCTAAATTATAAATACTGTTTTTCAGGCAGCAGACTCTGTTTTGACAGGTATGGCACTAAGCTATACTGTACTTTTAATACATTCATATAAGAAATGATAAATTACACTGTAAAAGCCTCTCATAATGTATGCATTATAGCTAGATGCATGGCATTATTCTGATCAGACGTGACCAGAAAACTCAAAGAAGAGTAATGCAAATTCTTCTAAAGAGTGACACATTAAAAGGAGCTCCAGAAATGCAGAAAAATGAATCAATTATGGATGTACATGCTGGCTTGTTTTACATTAAAGGAATAAATTGCTATTTTTCAGTTATGATCTATTTTTTATTCATATATTTCCTATTTATTCTTATGAATGTGTCTTTAAGGCTGAAATTAGCCAAATGATGTACAAATACTTGCACCTTAAAAAGATTTATAGTAATAAAATCATGTTTGAYGTAGCAAATTATAAGTCCCTAAGCCGCTTATTACTTCACAGAGAGCAGCTTTTAATTGTCAAGAATGCTATTTAAATACTTGCATATGCTAAGTTAATAATATAAATCCTTTCTAGCACATTTTTCTTTCAACTATTTTTTTCTCCATTTTTCATTTATTAGGCTCCAATCAGAAAAACCTCAGGTGTCAGAAGTGTCAGAGATTTATGTCTTCAGCTCTCTTATGAATACTGAACTTCCTCCAAGGATTTGCATAAGACTATTGTAAACAAAGCCTTATGAAATGCTCATCAGAAACAAAGTGTTTCAGTTTTGCGTAGCACATTAAGCATTGACCTGGTTTTGGCAATCCTACACAGTGGTCCTTGACACATGCACTTTGCTTTAGGAATTCAAAGCCAAAGATGCAATGAAGAGATGCAAAAGCAGCATTCTTTGTCCCCATCCCCACTTTTGTTAGACTTTAGGATTTTTATTTGCTATAATGCTACAARAAGTAAATTAAGAACTCCTGTAGAAAGCTGGAGCCATCTGAGAACATGAACACCGGTGCATGGTTCCCTATTCGTCCCAGTTAACCACCTGGCAATTTGCAACTGATASTCATGTTTTGGTTYGGGGGTTGTGATCACACTTCTACARTCAATTTGTGAAAACTATTTTTGTCCATACATAAACAAGGGAATTGGCTTCTGATATCTAAAATTTCCTTTACATTCCCTTTGCATCTCAATGAATATGAATTACCCAAAATCTAATCTCCCACTGCAGACAACTTATATGATGATAAAGTGTCATAATGAAGACTTCTAGCCACCTTGTGGCTTCCCTTGAATTTATATCACATGAACTATATGTCTTTTGCTATATTCAAAACCAYTGCAAAGCATTACCCATAGCCACTGCAGCATTATTTTCAAAGGTCATTAAACTTCTCAGTTTGCTACAAGACTCTGATAAAGAATTTTGATAAAGGTAAATATACAGCATTTTAAAATGCTCTCTACAGTTATAATAATGGCACGATGTAGATTTCCTGCACCTGTGCTCCCCATAAATATGAAAAGATCTCCTAAAAGTCCATTCATTATTTTTTAAACTATCCATCAGTGACTTACAATGCATTGTTTTTGTTCATGATACCCCAGTAAGTACAGATCCTGGCATATGATACTGAAAACAGAAGAAACATCCACTTTCTACTGCCCTGCATTGAACCTCCCAGGTCACAGCCTTGCCACGAGATGGCACTGGGACCAGAAGCAGCAAACTTGGACAGTCTGTGCATCCAAAGTGAAAAGGGCAAGGGATCCACAAAACTAAGGATCTAGCTCTTCAGCAGCTGTTTATGGACCAATGGTCCATGAATTTAATAGCTTTGAGTCTGCTCAGACTATCTGCCTATAAAACCTTGGCATCGAGCTCCAGAAGTTTGTTACTTGTTGCATAGAAACACATCGCCCAGTTTAAACCAACTACAACCATTAAGTGCCCATTAGGTTTGTTACAGAATCTGATGTGTTCTTCATTTACCTTTTCTAGTATCTTCATAATTTTATAAATCTTAGACATGCTCATTCTAAGTATTCTCCCATCCAAACAAAAGAGTCCCAACCATTTTAATCGCTTCCAGTAATTAAACTAATTCATCTCCTTGGTTTTAGCAGCCTTTCTCCACGCAGGTATTAATTCCACTTCTRAAATGTTGTCTTTGAGATTGCATTCAAAATTTCAGACATTAATAACAAAATTAAATTCTAATATTTAAAATGTGGATCCATTATAGTTTTATATAATAATGAAGTAACTTATATCTTATTTATAACACTGATTGTGTCTAACATCTTGTTGATATTTTGTCTGCAACTGTGCAACAAGAGATAATGCTAGAGATAATGTTAGAGATGATATCAAAGTCTTTCCTGAATTTTAAGAGTAAATTCCAAGTCCAAGATCACACAGACATGGTTTGAGGAGATATATGTTTTTTTCAGATACATTAACTCCTGTTTATTTATCCTGACCTTCATCTGTCACCTTTCTGTCCACTCATTCTGTTTTTTGAGGTGCTTCTGGAGCTCCTTGCTGTCCAACATCTTTTCAAATGCAGTGCAGTATCATTTGCAAACTGAGACAATTCACTGTGTACTCTCATCTTCCAAATCATAGTTTAAGATATGGAACACAATTTGTCTGAGTACTAATTTCTGGAATACTCCACATCTGACTTCTCTGTTCTAAAACACTACTGTTAAGCTTTGTTCTTTACCTATAATCATCTTTAAATTATTATTTATAATAAGGATAGTAATTAATAAGTAGTCTCATAACTATTTATTATTTCAATAGCTTTTGGTGAGGATCCTTCTCAAAAGCTTTCTGAAACTCAAAATATTTTATGTTCCCTGAACCTCTTACCCATGTTCTTACTGACAGTCTTACAGATCTCCAGATTTCGCTGGGCAGAAGCAACTCTTTCCAAAGGGCCTGTGTTTATCCATGTGCTTGGTGATCCTTCTGTGATATAGTCCCTTATCAATGTACAAGACTGGAGGTCAGACTCACAAACACTTTTTATATATTTACTTTAAAATGATGTGATTCTTCTGACCTATCCACCAGAAAGAATGCACTGGGTAAGGAAATCACCTCAAAATACCCCAGAGGATTTGGGTATATATAACCCATATAATGCAAAGAATGCAAAGAATTTATTGGGCTTTATGTATTTGATGGGCTTTTTATTAGTATTTTGGGTTTAATATGGCCTTGTGACTGTAAATGTGACTGTAAACCAAAAAATCAGTTTTTGCTTTTGTTATGAATTGACACCACTGATTTCTAGATTTGGTTGTTTTTGAAGAAATGTATTACAAACTGTCTTTCCAAATAACTCTTCAAATTAGCTCTTAATGTCTTGTTCAAATTTGCTACACTGTTTTCATGGGCTTTTCCGTTTTCCTCATCCAGGCGAGTTTTCATTTTTTTCCTGTATGGGTCTCCTTCRATTTTCTACTGAGCCATGAACGTTTTGGTTTGGCTTTGACATGCTGGATTTCCTTCAGATTGTGGCAAACATATTACATGTGCTTTTAATATAAGGTTTTCTTTATTATTATTATTTTAAACAAGGTCCATCTTACTTGGAGAATTCTTGTCTTTTGGACTGTTTGGGGGTTTTGCATTGTTGCTTAATTTCTTGAAGGTTTTTTCTAGGACTCTTGGATCCACATCCTTCATGCTCCTGTCAGATTTGCTGCCTTACCACCAAYATGACACTCACTCTTCAAGGCATCTTACCCAGTCGTGTATGTGTTTAATAAGTGAACCATCCCTGAGATTGCCCTCTCTCATAGTAGAGGGGAGGTCTCAGTGAGAAACGACACCATAAAGTCAGCTGGGAAATGGCTTCAACTTAGCATCATTCCCTCTTTACCTTGGTAGCCCTCATTCCCCCTGGTTAACACTCTCCTGAGCAGAATACAGGGGAAATGGGACTTTTCTGTAACATTCCTGTTTGCTTCATCTGTAAATGTGTCCATATAACTTCTCTGCTTCAGCCACTGCACATTACTCACCATCAGGAGAACTTTTCACTAAAAAAAACTTACACAGACATGATCCCAGGGTAGAAAGTTAATTGCATTCTGAGCAACGAATGAGGAAGCTCACCTCAGTTGCTGGACTTCTACCTGTATCCTGTGTTCAAAACTGTACCAAAAATCCCAAGCCTAGGGATTTCCCATGTTTCAGGCTAAAAGTGGGAGCACTGGGCCAGTTGACACTGCAATGACTGGCAAAACTTTGATGCATAAAAATTCAAGTTTCATGTTTCAGTTTCCACCTTGAAATCAAATAAACCAATACGACAACTCACAGAACTCAGGAGCAAAGGCCTGTGGAAGAAGAATTATACTGAACAGATACAGGTGTCTTCCTAAAAATATTCAGGTTGCTCCACATTACTGCATGTTTTGTACTTAAGGCACTGAACTAATCTCCACCAACTTGACAAAGTCTAGAGGACCTTCTTTACAACTTCTCTCTCAAGATTCCTGCTAGCAATCTCACCTGTTCCCATACTGCCCTTATGGCCTTATTTGACTTGACTAGCAAATCTAACGTACCTAAAAAATGTTCTTTTCCTTAGTACCTTCTCTTCTCTCTCCCCACCCGTGTGGGGGTGGAAATATTTGTGTGGAAATATTTGTAGGCACAAATAAATATGGCATTCTGTTTTGAATAGGTATGAAAACAGGGGTTTTACAAATATTTGAGAGTTACAATATCATACCTTCTATCATCTCCATACCACTGGGAGGCTTACAGTGCCCGGCATGGCTCACAACCCAAACTGGATACTGCTGATTCAGTCCACAATATAAGGCCTGTATAAAGGTCCTGTAGTAACCTGCCAATCCAGGGTTACCTGCCAAAAGAAAAATGTAAGCACAGTCAATACTAACTTTTTAACAGGAAGCAATACAGTTCAAAGCAAACGGAGCAGCATTATTCGTAAATATGTTTAATTTCTTTTTCTCTAATTTGCTTTTAATTTTTACTCTCCCAATTCTAGAGGATGTACTGCTGAACTATTTTAATTCCATTTATCAATAGCACCAAAGACAAGCATAGAGCAGAATTACTGTGAAATTGCAGAAACTAAAATTGAAGCCCAGTAACAAAAAACCTTCTTTTCCTTTTAAAGCTCAAGCTTATCTATCTCACCCTAATATTCCCAATGTGAGAAAATTAGTTCTATGTAAAGACACAAATTTTATAAAGCAATCAAAAAGGAATATTAGGCACTTATACATTATACACTTGAGGCAGGCATCTCAACACAGAAGCTGGTATCTCTACAGAGCTGGTTTGCCCTGAAAGAGTTGGACAACTCACTATAAATCCATTATGTAGCACTAATATATTACTTATAGTCAGGTGCCACCACTGAAATAATTTAGCAGAGGTTAAAGATCAAAATATATATATGTTAGGAATTCCAAGATTTACAAGAAAACATTCAATCTCTCTCCTTGTGTTTGCTTATGTTAAATATTACAGAATCACAGAATCACAGAATATTCAAGGTTGGAAGGGACCTCTAGAGATCATCTAGTCCAACCTTYCTSCTCAAGCAGGCACACCTACAGCATGTGGCACAGGGTGGCATCCAGGCGGGTTTGGAAGACCTCCAGAGTAGGAGACTCCACARCCTCCCTGGGCAGCCTGTTCCACTGCTCTGTCACCCTCACAGTGAAGAAGTTCCTCCTCACCTGCAGACGGAACTTCCTGTGCTCCAGCTTATGGCCATTACCCCTCGTCCTGTCACTGGCCACCAGGGAAAACAGCCTATCCCCTTCTTCCCTGCATTCTCCCTTCCTGAACTTATACACATTAATCAGATCCCCTCTCAGCCTTCTCTTCTCCAGAGAAAACAGRCCCAGCTCACTCAGCCTCTCTTCATTCGAGAGATGTTCCATTCCCTTAACCATCTTGGTTGCTCTTCTCTGGACCCTCTCCAGAAGCTACACGTCCCTCCTATACTGGGGTGCCCAGAACTGCACACAATACTCCAGGTGCGGCCTCACCAGAGCTGAGGAGAGGGGCAGAATCACCTCCCTCGACCTGCTGGCAACACTCCTCCTGATGCAGGCCAGGATCCCATTGGCCTTCTTGGCCACGAGGGCACACTGCTCACTCATGGTTAACTTAGTGTCAACCAGGACTCCCAGGTGCCTCTCCGTGGAGCTGGTTTCCAGCAGGTCGAGCCCTAATCTGTACTAATGCCTGGGGTTATTCCTCCCCAGGTGCAGGACCCTGCACTTGTCCTTATTGAACCTCATGAGGTTCCTCTCTGCCCAACTCTCCAGCCTTCCAGGTCCCTCTGGATGGCAGCACAGCCCTCTGGAGTGTCAGCCACTCCACCCAGCTTGGTGTCATCTGCAAACTTGCTTACGGTGCATTCCGTGCCCTCGTCCAGGTCATTGATGAACAAATTGAACAGCACCGGGCCCAGTACTGACCCCTGGGGGACACCAYTGGCCACAGGCCTCCAACTGGACTCGGCCCCATTTATCACCACCCTCTGAGCTCTGCCATCCAGCCAGCCCTCGATCCACCGCACCGTGCACTCATCCAGTCCACTCTCCCGGAGCTTCCGTATGAGGATATTATGGGAGACGGTGTCAAAAGCCTTGCTGAAGTCAAGGTAGACAACATCCACGGCTCTCCCCTCGTCCAGCCAGTCTGTCATCCCATCACAGAAGGCTATGAGGTTCGTCAGACATGACTTCCCCTTGGTGAATCCATGCTGACTGCTCCTCAACACCTTCTTCTCCTTCATATGCCTGGAGATTCTCTCTAGGATGAACCGCTCCATCACCTTTCCAGGGACAGAGGTGAGGCTGACCAGCCTGTAATTGCCCAGCTCCTCCCTCTTGCCCTTTTTGAAGACTGGRGTGACGTTGGCTCTCTTCCAGTCCTCAGGCACCTCCCCTGCTCTCCAGGACCTCTCAAAGATGATGGAGAGAGGCTGAGCAATACCCTCGGCCAGTTCCCTCAGCACTCTTGGGTGCATCCCATCTGGGCCCATAGATTTTTGAGTGGCCAGTTTGCCTAAGTGATCCCTAACCCAATCCTTCTCAACCCGCGGAAGGTCTTCCTCTAGCCCATTTACATCTCTTCTATTGGAGCCCTGCAGTTCATGAGGGGTCGTCTTAGCAGTAAAGACAGAGGCAAAGAAGGCATTTAGTAACTCTGCCTTCTCGGCATCCTCCGTCACCAAGGCCCCTTCCCCATTSAGCAGTGCACTAACATTTTCCCTCGTCTTCCTCTTGCTATTGACATACTTATAGAAACCCTTCCTGTTGTCCCTGACTTGCCTCGCCAACTCTATTTCCACCCGGGCTTTGGCCTTCCTCGTTTTGCATCTGCATTCTCTGACAATGCGCCTGTATTCCTCCCACGTGGCCTGTCCCTTCTTCCACAAGCTGTACACTCTTTTTTTTTCATTCACTACATATTTAACAATATTTATTATGTATTTAACAACAGACATTTAACAATAAGTAGAAAGAATATGGAAAATGTTTACCCACAAATATAGCTCAAATTTATATCTCTAAAGTTAGTTGCTTTTTATGGTGTTAGTTCAGCTCTTCTCTGCTAAAAAGATAACAAAAGAAAATAAGGATTTTTCTTCCTCTACCATTACAATAATAACTAATGGAGTTACTTGAATTTTAATATGCACAGTGCACTATGATCAACAATACTTCGGACTTGCCTAGTGCAAACCAAGTACTGTTCAACTTAGCAATATTATTATTTAGAGCAYGAAAGGAACTCCTTTCATCCACTCTGTTCTTTGCCAAGAGCACAAGCCACTTTGTGCCATTTTTCTGCATTAAGTCCCAAATCATTCTGCTTTTTTGTGTGAAGACCTTCAGGAAAGGAAATCCATTTCTTCCTTTACCAGTGTGTTCATGTGGTTAATCGCTCGCAGAGTTAAAAATGGGAGCAGGACTTATAGACACCAACCTGCCTCGTTTTCATTTTCAAACAGTTTCTTGTTAGGGCATCCTGCATTAAATTGAGACTTTAAACACCCACCGCTTGTTTCTCATGAAGACAGACAGCAGTAGAGAGATGACAGCTTGTACAAAATAAGCACCTGCCCCCGGATATCACTGATAAATAAAACCTTTTTTTTCCTCCAAATTTCACAATTTCCTTTAGAAAGTGTCATAAGATCTAACATAGTCATTTTAAAAATTAACTACATATTAGTATCTGAGCTTCTGTGCTTCCAGGAGAAGAAAACTACACTCGGAAAATATAAACTTATATAGTTATTATATATAAGTTACTATAATAACTTATAGTATGCCATCAATGTAATTCAATCTAACTGCTTAACTCCTAATGCAAAACAACATATATGGAATGCTCATTAAAGAGTCAAAGAGCATTAAAATTCCCAAGAGAATAACAGTTTTTCATAGATTCATAGAATCCTTAAGGTTAGAAGGGACCTCCACAGATCATCTAGTCCAACCCCCCTGCTCCAGCAGAGACACGCAGAGCACGGGGCACAGGGTGGCATCCAGGTAGGTTTGGAAGATCCTCCAGAGCCTCCCAACCTCCCTGGGCAGCCTGTTCCAGGGAGAGGTTCTTGGGCCCCGCAGCGGCATCTCCAGCAGCTCGGCCGGGCGCAGCAGCAGCAGCTGTGGTGCCTCCCGCGCGGCTCTAACACTTGTCATCTCCTGCGGGACCTCAGCAGGACCAGAAAGATCAGGAGGAGCCACACGCAGAGAAGAAAGGAAGCACCCGGCCAATAGGGGCCTTACGGAGAACTTGGAGGAACTGGAAAATAGGCCAGCAATTACTATGAATGCAATTTTAGAAATAATCCACCATTTCACTATTAAGTACATATGCAATAGTATTTCCATGAGAATTTGCTGCAACAAGACCAAATGCAGATTTTTTTTTTTTTCTGAGCGGCTATAAATCAAGCTTGAAATCCAGGGGGGCACAGCAGGACCACACACACAAAAAAAATCATTTCTGTGGCAGCAACACTAACTGCCTCTYCGCTGAGCTGCCAAAGTCTCCAGCTCCAGCTTGGAGAATCTACATGACAAGGTCCTTGCTCAAGGAAACTTAATCTATCTTTGGCTTCTGACCAGGCACCATGGAAGAAGACGCAGCTCCCCTCTGCTAATGAATGGAAAGCGGCCCATGCAGATGTCGGGAGGATTTAAATGGAGCCTGCACAAGACACAAGGATGTTCTCCCCCTCGGGAAAAACTTGCAGAAACTGACACCACAGCTGAGGATCGGGCCTTAAAAGGAAACATGCAGGTTTCCATGACGAGCAGGGTCAAGGAATTTCAAATAAAACACAGCAAACAGCACTCGAACGATGGCGATACATTCACGGTGATTAAATCTTTACCTGCTAAGACATCTCAGGGGCTGAAATCCTTCTTGCTCTCTTCTGTTTATAGGTTGCACAGCAGAGGAGCAACATCAGCCAAAGAGCAATCATAACGACCTTATGCAGACCTAACCATATGTTAAACTTCTGTTTGATCCTCTTTGGAATAATGAATTTGGCTGGAAAGAGCCTTAATACAGTTGCTTGAATTGTGAAAACAGGGACTCTMAGGAGAATTCAACCAGGTGTCTGCYGTAACTTAGTTCATTAGAGTTTTATTTTTTTCCAAGAACAAATATCATTTTTTCCCTTTRTATTTGTAGATTCTGGTCTTGATAGAACTATCAGGCATGGATAAAAGACTTTATAATACACATTGTTTAAATACATTTTACAGAGCAAATCATCTTTCTTGCTATTCTCCATCTCGTGCTGTTCTACTTTTAGGACAAATGTAGGTTCGTTCACCTTTAAAGAGATCCCAA